TGCCTGCTGTTCCAGAGCCTGGCCATCCTCACAATTTTGTTTCTTTGCCTCGGGGACCACAAGATGCTTTGGCTCAAAAAGCCTGCAGATCAGCTGTACCCAAGCTGGTCTGTCTATGCCATCACTGCCGCCCAGTGTCCTATAGCTAGGCCTTGGTGGTCAGAGGCCCAGCAGCATAGCATGGAGACAGCTTTTTGAGGGACCACCCTTGGTCATGATGAAAGTGCTGCCAAGTCACTTAATTCAGGGGACTAGGGAATTCAGGGCTTCCTTTCCCTCAAATGATGTCCATCTGACTGAATACCAGTTTCACCTTGAAACCTACGTGGGGATGCAGAACTTGACTAGAAATGGTTTGATCTCAGGGCCCAGGGTGAGCTTATTGGCCACCTAAAGCATCTCATTAGTTTTGCTTTTCATGGCTCTCCAGGTTCAATAAGGAGTCTTGATACTTGAATAAGATCAATGACTATACCCTCATCAGCATTATTACGTAGGGTGGGAGCCATAGATATTGGATTGGTGATCTGAATGCCAGCAAGGAATTCAAAGTTTTCTAAACCAAAGTAGGTTCCCAGAACCATTAGCAGCACCAACATGCCCTGAGAACTTGTTAGAAACGCAGATTCTCCAGCACCCCCCCCCCCCCCACACACACACCCTGAATCAGAAACCCTGGAATACCCGGGCCAGTGTGTTAACAAGTCCTCCGGGAATTCTGATGTACTCCATTGCTGAGACCCACCGCCCTGGCTCAGAGCTGTCCAGTAGAACTTTCTCAACGATGGAAACTGTCCACGTCCCTGCTGCCAGTGTGGGAGCCACTAGCCATCACACTCTTAAAATTGGCTTGTGTGTGCCTGAACAGTGGGCTTGTTAATTTTATTTAATTTGATGAATTTGGGCTTAAATTCAAGCAGCTACATATAGCTAGTGGCTACCCATCAGATATCCCAGCCCCAGAGCATACCCTGCTATTCATGATCAGTGGCTAAACTCTTGTAATTCCTTAAGTTGGGGGCTGTGGAATTTTTAATTTCATGGCGTAGTCCTCCAAGTGTAAAACTCCGAGAGCTATAATAGTAGTTGATTTTGAGTCGTCTTTTGGAGGGGCAGCGCTTTGCTAGGGGCCAGTGGGTTGAAGGAAGCCTATTCTTCATTTTGAGGGGAATGTGCTTCATCACTGCCGCGCCTGGTGACTTCCGCCTGTTGTGCTTGTAACTGACGATGGTGGACAGGTCTTCCTAGAAAGATAAAGCTTTTGCTGTGGCCAGTTCCTTGCATTTGGAGCTCTGGTTTATCCAGCTGGTCCAGCAAGGTGGACAGGCGGACCTGCTTCTTTCCTGAGGGAGCTTTCAAAAGAGATGCTTGTCAGCCCTTCTTATGGAATCTTCCAGAAATGTGATAAATTGATGAAGTCTGGGCCAGCACATCTAAGAGACAAAACTCTAGACTTACATTCTGATTTTTCAATTTAGTAGGACTTAAAAGAACACAGGGCTGTGCTGGGCTTGTAGGTGTGAACTGTGACCACTGGAGACCAGTCTCTGGGGTGACAGGACCACATCTTTGAGCATCTCCCAAGGTCATCTGACCCTGCAGCTACAGCAGAACGTGACATTCAGGAGCCAGGGAACACTTGAGTGGAGTTAGGGACCGTTCCCCCAGATCTGACAACTGTAGTCTCCAAATTAAAGCAGCCATCATGGGCTATGCAGAAAATGATATTTAATTTTCTGTCAGAGCGAAGTTCTACATGACTGAGCTTCCTAATTGACGGCCCCATTTGCTGAATTATTTAAGTCCCTATCATTGATTTTCATAATCCATCTCCTCTTAGAATCATACAATGTTAAAGTAAAATAGAAGAGAACCAAGAAGTGGTCGTAATCCAGTCTTCTCATTTCACATGTGAAACGGAGGTCCAGAGAGGTTGTGGGTTGAGTAAGGACACACACAGCAGTGGAGGGCCGAATTAGGAGGAGCCTGAGGTCGTGTGACTGTCAGTCACAGACCAAGGCTCCTGTGGTCATGCACCACCTCGCTCTTTGGTTTCTTTTGTGTGCTCAGCTCCTTGTAATCTCTAAACATGTTTCTACAGCAGGAATCCTAGGTCAGAAGCCAGACAGATTCACGAAAAAGGAACATTGCACACACACAACAATAAGAAATATATTAGCGCTCACTCTTCATTAATAGTTACATTCAGAAATGCTGCTTCTTGCTCGTGTGTCATGAAGATATCTGAAAAATTCCCATAAAATGTTTTAACCAGTGAAAATTGTAGCTGCCCTTTTTGGGATAGATAAAATTGTTCATGCCGTGTAAGTGTATGATTTGATCATTGCATAATTCTTAGTGTTCAGATTTTTTTTCTGGACACTTGTGTTGGATTAATTTGTTTTTCCAAGTACAAGGCTTGTTTCAGTTGATTGACTTTGATGCCCTTTCTTTTGTAACTTACTTTCTTTAAATAGCATGCCTTTCCTACTTTATACCCCAAACATGAAAATGCCAGGTGCTGAGAGTGCAATGCTGTGTACATAGTAAGCACTGTCTGAATACCAGTGGAAAGAGTGAATGCTGTCCCGTCTGGACGAGTCCAAATATTAATTCCTTTCAATTTTTAGTATGGTTGGGAAGGATTCCATATTTTAAGGAGAATGTTAGCGATATGAGCAGTGTAGTTGGGTTCCCCCCTCTAGCTTGAATGGAATCTTAAACAAAAAATTCACATGCACATTCGAAGGCTGGGAGAGGTTTCCTGAATTGAATATGGGGTTATTGTTTGTGCCCACAAAACAAAGCCCTAAATCACATTTAGCATAATTTGTGGTTTTAAATTGGACTGATTTAGCAAGGAGAGTGAAATAATCTCTCATCCTGTCAGAATGGCGCTACCTCTAGACCGGCATTTAATTGCATTGGCAGAGTAACTTTGGGAAGGAGGCAGTAATTCTGGCTGCATTATTCTTGGTTTGTGGCTAAATTGAGATCATCATTTTCTCCTGGTTTCACTAACTTTCTTTATTGCTCTTCAAACTAATCAGATGAAGGCTTAATGGTACCTGGAGGGGCAGGGTGAGGTCTGTGGGCAGCAGCCCCTTCTCTCTGTGATCAGGGGAGGGAACAGCGACAGATGGCTCCGGGCATCTCAGAAGGCACAGCCTGGTGATTTTCTTGGTGGTCATTTACACAAAGCGGATATCACTTATTTGCATAAAAGTACATTATTGACCATGCACCTGAAAATGTGCTCTTGGAGCTCCTTGTGCAGGTAGAGTTCACATGCATTCAGGCTGGTATCCCAGAGTGCAGGGTAATTCCCAGCTGCCTGGATTATCCTATGAAAATCTGTCCTGTTGTCTCAGCCACTTCAGAAGCTAATCCACGGCCCAGTCCACAGACCACTTCCCCCTGCTCCCGTGTCCTAGCACAGAAAGATCCATGTTCTTTACAACCCCTTCCTCCACTGAAAGCATTTCTCTTACCTTCTACCAAGCCTTTCCTCTGAAAGCAATCAGGTCAGCGCTGCCTTAGACCAGTGACTTTCAATTGCTGTGCCGTGAGAGGCTTTTAGGTGTGCCACCAAAATTTTTAAAGATCTTAATTAAATTACTTTCAAAAGAAGCTCAAAGCGTGGTTAAGTGTATTCTTTTTTTCTTTTTTTTTTTTTGATCAACATAATTTAAGTGTGCCAGAGAAGTTTTAACTAGAGGTCCAAGGGTGCTGTGAGATAAAAAAGGTTGGAAACACTGCCCTGGACATTTCAGAGAGCTGAAAATGACGACTCAGAGCTGTCACGAGCAGTGCGCCTGTCCTTTTTACTCTTGGTGCCCTGGATGCTGTCTTCTGGAGTTCTTGGAAAGGCTGTCTCCTTAAATATTTTAGGTGTATGTTTGGCATTTTACACACACCTTTCTTTGTAGAGGTTCTAAGCACAGGTATTCCTGGTTCTGATTATAGGCAGCAGGTTTTCCCAGCCTTCTGGGGCTCCCCTGGAGGAAGCAAGTGGGATGGAAGTAAACAGCACTGCCCGATGGGACACCATGTTATCTTGTGTCGCACTCAGGGCCTCCGTCCGTGTTCTTAGTTACCCAGGTAGTCTTGGCATTAGAGTCGGCATGAACCGTGGACAGGCTAATGTTTGTAGAAAGGTTGAATAGCAAATGGGGTAGATGAATCACAAGCTACCCAGAGTCTATCACCAGTTTTAGAGTTCATACTTTTGAGATAAAGATGCCTTCAGCTTTTTAATTTATTGGCGCATACTCTAGGGAAGGAGGAACTTTTGGGGTCCCCGGTGGTCGGTTTATTTTCACCGTTGATCTACATTCTAGTATTCAGAGCATGCCACTGAGCCGGCTTTTTGTATTTCTATATAATAACAGTATATTGATCTGTTGCTAATCTGATGTAACCTTTGTGTATGTGTGTGTGTACCTGTATTGATCAAGGTGTATTTCTCCAGAGGCCAAAATCACAAACGAGGCAGGTCAAATATTTCATCATTTAAGGTTGAGCTTAAGTGGTTGTGATTTGATGCAGTGTTGAGAGAGGACAGCGCTTCAGAAATAGGATTAAGCAGCTTGATCGTCCTGTCACACGACAAGGCGTTTGGATTTGTCCTTATGGTGGAGAAGCCCAGAAACCAGTTGCACTTATTAGCCATTATATGACAACTATCTGCCTGGTAATATCCGCTTTTATGGGCTGTCTGTGTTCTCTTTTGCCCCTTTTAACTTCCTGCTTCCCTCCTCATTGTCCATTTGAACCAAACTTTGTGAAACATTTACCTAATGGTCCAAGAAGCAGCCTTACTCCTACTCAGTGGACAGTTACTATGGAAAACCCAAGTTAAGATCTGTATGTGAATTAGATGGTTATATCGGACTTTTAATAGCCTCTATTTTCTTTGAAAGAAAAACAAAATGTGTTGCTGGCATTCCTTGCTAGGAGGGAGGTTTCTGGATTCACGTTCAGCATTTTTGTCTCCATAGCTGTGCCACCGAACATCGCAGAACTGAAGAATTTGGAAGTGCTCAACTTCTTTAATAACCAGATTGAGGAGCTCCCCACGCAGATCAGCAGCCTTCAAAAACTAAAGCACCTGAACCTTGGGTGAGTCTTGGCAGAGGGATGAGAGCGGATGGGGGTGTGGGGTGTGTCTAAGAGCGGGATCCATTTATGTTATCGCAGGGGAGAAGCGGATTTCTAATTTCTTTTTATGTTTTAGGTTTTAAAAAAAGTTTTATTGTTTTAATATTGCCTTTCAATGGCCTACATTAGTACTTATCTATCTGAGAGCTAATTGAGATGCTGATTGTTGGCACAGTAAGGGAGGTTTTTACTGTATTTTGTTTCCAGTACAATTTTATTTTGGTTATGTTGACCGAGGAGGGACTTATTTGCATGGCATTAACTGTTCAAACAAGTTGTAATAGGGTCGATTTTTCTCTGTGTTATTAAATAGAAGAATTTTGCAAAGCGTCTTTTTTTTTTTTCCCACGGAGGGGAGGATATATCCCCTAACATTGCCTCTTTCCTTCTTCTGATTCTTTTATGTAGTTGGGTTGATAATCCTGTGTCTGTCCTTATGTAACGATGAAGAGTTTCCATTCAGCTGAGTTTGCGGAACCAAGGAGCAGTGAATAATAATAATACCTTGCCCTCCTCTGTTGCTTCGTGGTTTTAAAAGTCTTTGTGCTGGTATTTGGCCCTCTCAACGTTTGTGGGGTATAAAGGGCAGGCTTTAGTGCTTTAATTTCAAAGAGAGAAAGGCAACCCCTTTCCAAGGGGTTAAGTGACTTGCTCCCAAGGTCAGTGGCCAAGCCGAGGGGAGAGGCCATTGCTCTGGGTCTGCACATTCTCCATCAGACCCCGAGACCTCAGCCAACATGTTGGCTTCTGAATTCCATCTTCATTCCCAGAAGAAGCTTCCCACATGTGCGTTACTCTCTGTGCAGAGTAATATGTTCATTAAATCGTGGCTGCTAAGTGTTCTAGTTAAGTTGGTGATTTACGTGGAGTTGCAGTAGAAGCTGGCCAGGTATTTGTCAATTTAATAGGAAGCCATCATGAAAAGAATCTCCCATTCACGACGTGATATTTACTTCATCCCTTGCACAGGGAGAACAGTCAGACCACTGACTGTTTTGAAGTTTTTATTCTGAAGTTTGCCCTGGCTAAGAGATCATCTTTGTAAGAACTGGGAACATCCTTTTTTTCTCATGCCTGAGGAAAGAGGACTTTAACGGAGGGAGAAACATCACTTAGATAAGTTTTATTTCTCCCTACAACTTGGGAGACGGTTTACCCATCTGGCAAAGTGGGAAAGAAAGGATTCTACGTATGTATCTTGGTTTTCAAGATTATTAAGTTCTAATATTTAATTGGTATATAAGAAAGAAGTTAAAACTATATATACACACACATACGTGTATATGTAGACATATACATATAAGTCTTATTGTTAATTTCCTCATTTATTAAATGAGTGAGATACATTATTTATTTATGTATTTCACTAGGAATAGCTCCTGGTCCATGCTAAGTGTTACCTATTACCATCATCAACATTGTTTTGTTTATTTTTTTCATTTATTTCTATGTCAGAAACCTTGCTGGCATCGGGCATCAACAGTGTATGTCATGGTTGGTCCCTGGCCTTAGGTATGGGAGGGCTGGCTGTCCATGAGCAGGACCAGCCTGTTGGGATCACTGACACTGACTTTGTAGCAGCACCTGAGCCTACAGGTGAGGTTCTCAGGAGGACACACACACGGGGTAGCCTTTGAGCCAAGACTTAATGCATGAGAAAGAATTTCTCAGACTTACAAGTCACAGAACGGTATCTCAGGTTGAGAGAATGACAGAAGCTTGGAGCTCTGCAATTTCTGGACATTGTAGGGTTTTTGACCTTGTTCAGTGTAAAGTGCGAGGCAGGGAACATTAAGGTAAGAAGCAAGGCTAGGCAGGGAGTGCATGTCTGCTGTTCATTTAATGGGACTTGGTTCCCAGCTGTGCGCAGGACATTGTTCTAGGCACTGGCCATCAGCCCCTATGGAACTTGTGTTACAGTTGGGAAAACCCCCTATAAATGTTTATAGCCATGGCAGAGAGTCAGAGTGCTAATTTACTTGTGTGCTAAGTCAGTTACGGAGACCCTATTTTTATCCTACTGGCCACTGAAGATGTGCACAGCAGAGAAGGTCCGATTTTCATAGGAAAGATCAGTGTGGAGAAGGGGATGGAGAGAGGGAGGTAGACGCAAGGTCAGGACACCAGTGAGAATTCTGGATTTGTCTTTCAAGTGAACTAGGAATATATAGGAGGTAAAATTGACCAGACAGTAACTGATGGGATGACATTGAAATTTCTGTGTCCAGTGGCTGAAATGAAAATACAGACAGAGACAGGTTTGGGAAGAAGATAACGAATTCAGGTTTGGTTCAGTTTAGGACAAAGTTGTCAGCTTTTTTTCATGGAATGCATCTTAGCTGCCTTCGTGTTCTCTTTGGTGTTGTTTGCATTCTGGGCTCTCCATGTTTCGTTGACCGTATAAAGCTTTCTGTATTTAATTATATAGCTACATAGATGGGCTTGTCAAAAGTTTGGATAAAATTTCTAGTTCTTTGGGAAAGGAATTAAGATGGTTTGCGATAAAGGGTACATCTGTCCTCAGATGTATGTACTGTACTTGTACGTTGTCAAGAGTTACATGTTCATAGCAAGGGCGCCTTAGAATAAGCAGCCAGAATAAAAATATATACATAGGAGTCCGTCCGTGAAGCAGAGATGTCAGGCTACCCGTATGCATGATCCCAAAGGCAAGCTCACCCAGAACTTGCTTTTGAAGTTTCATCGAGTATTTGCTATTTATTCTAATGACTGTAAGACCTGAAAGAATTTTTGGTTCCCTGAATAAATACAAGATTAGGTTCTTAATTCCTTAAATACGGTTTATTTTATATTTCCCCAAAATTGTAAATCCATGTAGATTCTCATCTTCGTAATTATTTCTGGGAACACCATGCCAAACTATTTGGGCATAGCTTTTTTTGACCTAGAGTGTTGCTGGAGATTAGCTCATGAACACACAGATGATTTCCTTAAGTACTGTGCGTAGTATTAGCGGAGTTTGATATATTTACATTTTATGTATTTGTTTGTTTTGGCTAAGTGAGTAGTCTCACTGTGGTTGTGAGAAAAATCTGTACTTAGAGCTAGGAAGGTTTTGTGGAAGCAGATTACCTGCAGAGAACATGTCCAAAGGGGAGGCATCAGTACAGGCCTTCCCGTGCGTTTGAAGAAGAGAAGGAAAAAGGAGGCCCAGTCGCCTTGGACCATCTAGTTCAGTGATGTTCACCAGCGTTCCGTGAGAGGATCTTAGGCATGCTGCAACAGTTTTTAAAGATCATTAATTAAATCATTTTTGAAAGGAGTTCAAAGCACAGTAACTATATTCTTTTTTTTTTTTTCACTCTTTTTTTTGATAAACATAATGAAAGTATCCCATGGAAGTTTAATTGTAGGTTTACGTGTGTGGTGAAATTAAAAATGTTGAAAAACACCAATCTGGTTTCATACATTTCTCCATCATATACAAGCATTTGTTTCCAATGCACATTTGGAAAATCTTCACATGGAAACTAAAGAATTTATACTGTTTGGCAAAGTTGAGCGCTAAGCGGCTTCTTATTTAAACACCTGAAGTGATCGGAGATTGAGCTGGTGTAGCACGAGCAGATAAACCCCACTCACTACTTTATGCTGTCCAGACTGGCCTTCTCGTAGGAAAGCTTGCCTGCTTGAGGCTGATTCAAAATTTTTCTCAAACCCTTTGAAATATAATTGTAGGCCAGGCATGGTGGCTCACACCTTTAACCCAGCACTCTGGGAAGCCCAGGTGGGTGGATCGCGTGAGCTCAGGAATTCAAGACCAGCCTGAGCAAGAGCAAGACCCCGTCTCTACTGAAAATAGAATAACTAGCTGGGTATTGTGGCTGGCACCTATAGTCTCAGCTACTTGGGAGGCTGAGGCAAGAGGATCGCCTGAGCCTTGGAGTTTGAGGTTGCTGTGAGCTAGGGTGATGCCATGACACTCTAGCCCAGGGGATAGAGTGAGACCCTGTCTCGAAAAAGAAAATTATATACAGTTATCCAAATTCTTTTAGAATTTTTTTAGTTCATACTATCCAAAATGGCCTTCTCCTAAGGCAAGCTTGCTTATTCAGGGCTGACTCAAAATTTCTCTCAAACCCTTTGAAATAATTGTTGCACTAGCTCCTCTCATTTCTTGAGACACCACCTGGGAGCCATGGAAGGTGTTAGGTGCCTTTCAGGGGCTTTGTCCCTCAGCCTCCCAGTAATCCTGCCCTGAAAGCAGTTCAGGGCCTCTTTTTGCAGTTAAGGAAATTGGATCTCAGAGAAGCTGAATAACTTTGCCAAGGTCACCCAGCAAGCAGGGTGGAGCTGGACTTGTCACCTTGCTGTGTTACACTTTCCAGCTCTACTCTTTCACTGCCTCACTGTAACCTCTCCTGGAAACCTCAAACATTCCTGCTGTCCGAGTGTAGCCTTGAGAACACACGCGGAGAGGTGGGTAGGGAGAGATGGACGTTAGCACCCATCGTGAGGGAGCTAGCCTATTCCATCTTTGATTCCGCAGAGAGAGACGTGGCTGGCTCACCACACTCGTGGGCTGATGTTCGGAGGAAGAGCCAGGCATCTCCACAGCGCCTCACCTCCTTGGTACCTGGGGCTGGCTGTAACTTGCAGTTCTTCTGGACTTTATGAAGCATTTGTCTAAGTAAGGGCTTCCTGCTTGCCTGCCAGGTTAGCAGGCTGACTGCTGTTACCACTGTCAGCTATAGCGGGGACTCAGCTATGTTCCTCATATATTATGGGTGTTGCTTTATCACTCAGAGTAAAAAGAACATTCAGTTAGATAGGTTCTTGTCACCAGGAACTAGATAGGCTGGTGCTTGCTCTAGGCTGGAAATTGGGTGGAGCATCCATTCCTTAAATGAGATGCCTCTTCCCTTTCAGGGTCTCTAACCATGGATTTCCCATACCTGCTAGAGCAAAAGTATAGTTCTGTATTTGGAAAGAAAAACTTTTAAGTATCAGCAATCTTCAAAACTAGATAACTTAAAGCAGTATTTAAAGATAGCAACTCATGTGTGCTTCTGTGCCTTTCTTACTAGCTCTGATTTTCTTTCAATTTGCGCAGGATCCTAACAGAGTCCAGGGGTTAGGAGTGGCTTTGGTTCTGGGAGGTGCAAGGAGCTCTCAGACACCTGTCACCTTCAGTGGCAGTCAGAAGTCCTTGGTCTTTAACCTCTCTTAAGCTGTTTTCTCATCTCAACACAGAAGTAATTACAAGCTCTCTCTTGCCTGTATTACAAGGTAGTGTTAGTGAAAAGTGAAATAAATACGTGTTATAAATGTGCTTCACAAATGTGGGTTCATGGCATCTGTGAATAATCGTTGTCATCACTGCAATAAATAGTCCAGGAGGTCATTTTGCTGGGTGTAAAGTCAGTCTGGGGCTTTTTCTCCCTGAGAGGTGGAAATCCACCCTCCGCTCTTGGTTTCCTCCTCCGCTGACAGCTGTTTCCTGTGCCTGCTAGGAGTAGATGGGACTGTGTCTGTTATGAAAAGAATCGATGCTCAGAATGGTTTTTAGCATCACAGTCCCTTCCACCTTTCAATATCTGTCAACTTCCATTAAATTTTTTTAATTGGCTTTTAAGTATGCTCAAAGAAAACTGCCTTAAGAAAAATGAAGGTCTTGAAGAAAAGGATGAAAGATAGTAATAGAAAAAAATTCCTTTCGACTTCATTGGGGAGAGAGAGAAGAACCCTTGGTCAACTGGGCAGGTTAGGGACGCTGATCTCCAGGGCACTGTAAAATCCACATGAAACTATCGACTCCCCCAAAACTTAATTAGTAACAGCCTACTGTTGGCGGGAATCCTTACCAATAGCATAATAGTTGATGAACAAATATTTTGGTTGCTATATGTATTTTAGACTGTATTCTTAGAATAAAGTAGGCTAGAGGAAAAATGGCATTAAGAAAAACATAAGGAAAAGAGAAGGTATTTACTGTTCTGTAAGTGGAGTTGAGTCTCCTGAAAGGTCTGTGCCCTCACCACCATCAGATTGAGTAGGCTGAGGAAGAGAAGGGGCCGGTCTCACTGTCTGAGGGTGGCAGAGAAGTGGACATGTGGTTTAAACCATGTCGCTCAAGGGTCAGCTGCATAACTTTTTAAAATTTTCAATTGTGGTAAAATAGATAAAACATGAAATTTGCTGTCTTCACAGTTTCGTAGTATATAGTTCAGTGGTGTTAAGTGTACTCACGTCACTGTGCAACCGATCTTCATAATTTTCTCAGCAGCCTCAGTATGGCGTCTAAAATGCGGTTGTTGGGTAACGACTTGGATTTTTCTCTCCTCACCCGCAGCATGAACAGGCTGAACACGCTGCCCCGAGGGTTCGGGTCTCTACCAGCTCTTGAGGTTCTGGACTTGACCTACAACAACTTAAATGAAAATTCTCTGCCTGGGAACTTCTTCTACCTTAGTAAGAAACTTTTAATTCTATAAATCTCCTTAACATGGTGCTTGGCGTTCTAAGAGTGAAATTTATTTGCCGGGGCCCGAACTCCAAGAGAAATTATTGGACATATATATTTTTTTCTTCACAGATTTCCTTTTGAATATTTCTTCATAGCTCAGCAGTCTGTATTTTTGATATATAGTTATGTGACACCTCTGGGCTGAAGTAGACTTAATGTCATATTAACTTTCTGAGAGAGATTATGTAGCTAAATGAGATCAAGTCTCACATTTAGCTAAGAGACTTGACTTTCTTTTTAAAAAGCATGCTGAAAAGAATAAAAAAAAAATTGTGTCTTCCCATGTTGCTTTTAATTCTTTGTAGGATATTTGCCCAACACATTCCAATCAATTATTTATGAAGATATTCATTAATAAACCACTAACAGAATTTTTTAAATTGCCAGCCAGAATTCTCATTTTAAATTTAAATAATATCCTTATTGGTGTATTTCTGCACGACACAGTCAAACATTTAAGGAATTATTAGCCACAGGTGAACCCACCTTCTCCTTTAGATGCAAACAAATTTCTTTTGGCAGGGGCTCCTAAAAATTAGGAAAAAAATGACTTTCTGGGGACTCGTAAAATATTTAGGAAAAAGTTTGCCTCCATTAAATGAATGTTTTACTTCTCTAAATGGTGACATTAATGGCATCCAGAAAATCTGAATTTTCTGAGCTAGTCTCTAAAATTTCATTTGTTTTTAACCTTGGGCGCAGTGTCTCTCAGACTTTCTCAAGCACATGAAACCAACTAAAATACTTTGCTGGGCCTTGGAGGAACTGGCTTTTGTTACATTGTTATCCTTTAAGTGCTTGCCAGTTTTAAAACATGAGAATGTAATTAAATACCTGTAAACAGATTAAATAATTACACTTCTAATGTAATTAGAATACACTTCTAATAAAGTGTATTTTAATTACACTTCCCCTTTTTGATTGAAGATAAAAAAGGTGCCCCTAAGATTTTAGCTCTCAGTAGTTTGGGGTCGGACCATCATCCTGTAATACTGCAAATCGGTTTCAGATCACTGATGTGCTTGCTTTAGGTTTAACTCTGTTAATTTCGTGTCATTGTTTTATGCCCTTTGTCTTCATTTATTTTTGTCCTACAGCTATAGAAAGTAGTGATAATTATTAGTCTGATTATGGAACCCGTGAACTGAAGTTAAAGCCTTTATCACCAAAAGCCTTCTATTTATTTTTAATACAGCTCTATTTACATAAGAAAAGTTCTTTTTTCACATGGTTCAGTTTCCATGAAAGAGCCTTTTGCTCTAGGTATCAACATAAGTGGTACTGGTGGTTTTCTTTGTTTTACTTTGAATGCAAATGGAGTAATACAGGCGAATCAGAAGTCATAGAGAAAAATAGCTGTCTTCTTTGAAAATGCTTTGAAACTCTGTGTTGAAAACTACTGGTGCCCACAGTTGCTAATTGTGTCCGTCTTCTTAGACATACACGTGTTCCCCAACACCCCAGCCACACAGTAAGCCAGTAAATCTAGGTTTGACCTGCTTGTTATTATTGGGAGTCCTAGGTATGTCATGGGCTTTTCACCACGCCGGGGTTATTAATCAAAGCTGACTCCTGGTATTGATCAGACCTCAAATGGTTGGGTTCCATGCCACCCTGTTTATACATCGCTGTTTAATTTGCAGCCACCCTGCGCGCACTCTATCTAAGTGACAACGATTTTGAAATCCTGCCGCCAGATATTGGGAAGCTCACAAAGTTGCAGATAGTAAGTAATTTATCTAAATTCTTAGAAAATCAATTCACTTCTCCAGCCCTTGTAAGCGTAGAATCAAGTCAATTTGAGCAGGAGTAAGGTTTGTTTCGCAGGAATAAAGCCCTACTCCTGATAGTGTCTCTTGTTTGTCCGCAGACACTTGTAAATAAAGGGGAAAGATTGAACGCAGTAGAAGAAAAGTGGGGGTAGGATAGGACGGGAGTTTCTGGGGAGCGCCTTTTGGTGTGAAAGTATTTTGACAACTCCTTGTTTTCTTGTGCTTAGCTCAGCCTGAGGGATAATGACCTGATCGGGCTGCCTAAGGAAATAGGGGAGCTCACGCAGCTTAAGGAACTCCACATTCAGGGGAACCGTCTGACTGTTCTGCCCCCCGAACTAGGTAAGGTTGCCGAAGAATGAACTTAGCTCTGGGTTTAATTAGTAATAATTATCCAGTGTCGCAATTCTGAACCATCTCTCGCTTCTTCCTGGCAAATACTTTCCACCTAGACACCCAGTTCTGATCATTTTATGATCATTTGTCGTTGATCAGAGTCCAGCTGTGAGGTTTTCACCTTCCCTCAATCCAGGTTCTGCGTCAGTAGGGTCTAGAGCAGCTGTTCTTATTTATTTTTAATACATAAAAATGTATTATGTACATTTAATACTATAACTGTATTAAAGGATCATGACATTAGGAAGGCCACTGGTCTAGAGTCTCAGCATCTGCTGATGAAAGATGACTCAGCTCCCTGCATGAGGTAGTAGTAGAAAGAGGCTGGGATTAGTAGTGAAGGGGTTATCCACGGCTCCTCATTTGCTAGCTAGATGAGCTCTCTGGGTCCTGGTTGGGTTATTAATAACTTTTATCAAAGTATTAATCTTTTTTTTTTTTTAAACCGAGTCTCAAGCTGTCGCCCTGGGTAGAGTGCTGTGGTGTCACAGCTCACAGCAACCTCAGACTCTTGGGCTTAAGTGATTCTCTTGCCTCAGCCCTCCAAGTAGCTGAGACTACAGGCGCCTGCCACATGCCTGTCTATTTTTTTGTTGTAGTTGTTGTTTAGCAGGCCCAGGTTGGGTTCAAACCCACTAGCACCAGTGTATGTGGCCAGCGCCCTTCCCACTGAGCTATGGGTGCCACCAATCTTTTTTACTTTTTTGATACTTCTTTCTGTTTTTAAATTTCAGGTTAATGTGAGGGTATAAGCAACTGGGTTTAATATTTGCATTAGAGTCCCTCTTGCAGTTGTGTCATCAACCCAAGAGGTGTGCCATGTACCCTTACATTGTGCCCATTAGGTGGGAGCACACCCATCCCCCTCCACCTCCCTCTTCCCCCATCACCTCTTCCCCTCCCCCCATCTTGAATTGGATTGAGTTTTTCTCTCATGTGGCGTGTATTAGATCATCTTTCCACATCAGTGTTTAGTACACTGGATACTTGCATTTCCATTCTTGTGATACTTCACTAAGAAGAATATGTTTCAACTTTATCCAGGTTAATACGTAGACAAAGCATCAGTCTTAATTTTTTTAAATTTACCCTTAAAAATGTTTACCAGATAGTTAGAGTGTTTGTTATGGCTGCTTGAAAATCCCTTTTGCAGATATGCATGTGGTCCTCTTCTGATCTCATGTCCCCTGGCAGTTGTTAAATCTGCTCTTGCTGGGAATTCCTTGGGCCTGCTCCCAGCAACTGAATCCCAGTTCTCTGCCCAGTTATCCTCATGGCCCAGGGAGGGCTTCTGGGACCCCCTTATAAATAACCTCAAGACCAGTGATTCTATTTCTGTTTCATGCTGCTGCTGAAGGTTCATGAGGTCCCTCATCTTTTTCTTGTTGAGACTTTCTGTATCCTTTAATTTCTTCTGTTCTTTGAATGGTGTGGGTTTCTTTCTTTCTTTCTTTCTTTCTTTTTTTTATAATTTCTTTTGCTTTTTTGCATCCTTGCTCTAAAAGACTGTAATTAGAAAAAATACATTTAGCCCCTAGTTCTCAACGAGTCTAGTAGTTTTAAAGAGGCCAGTTATTATAAATTAGGAGGCAAGCACCATGAAGGCAGAGGGGGCTTTTCTGTTTGTTCCCTGCTAAGCCCCCACGTTCAGTGTGTACCAGGCATGTGGTAGGGGTACGAATGGGGCACGTGGTAGTGAATGAATGAAAGAGAGGAAGGCTTTGGGTAGCAAGAGGTTTAAGGAGATTACAAGCAGGCAGAATTTGACTAGTGCCCAGAATAACCCTGTAGGAGAACACAGGTACAGAAAAATCCTGCCAGCACAGAGAGTTCTGGCAGGCAGACCAGTATAAAGGGGAACATTCCTGTGATTTCACGGAGCAGAGGTCAAGTTGCACCTCCACTTTTCCCATCTCCTGTAACTCCTTTGTTGGTGTAAAAGGCTGGAGGTGGTCATTTTAATGTATGTAAGGGCTGAGGTTATTTTATGACATCTAAGCCCCTCCTCTTCACTGAAGTTCAAGTACAGGAGCAAGAAAAGGTTTTTGCAAAAATTTTCGGGGCAAAAAAATTCTTGTCTAAGGGAAGATTTTTGTGTGGTGGTGATGGTTAACCATGAATGTTAGCCTTAGTAATTCTTGGAGAGCTTTTGCTGACTATAAATACCTCCCCAACCTACTGAATCAAGATCTCTATGGGTGAGACAGGTTCTTGTGTGGTCTGATAAAACCCACTTAATACTACTGATGTGCATCCAGGGTTAAGGTGCGCTCAGTAGAAACAAGAAAATGAATATGTATTTTGTTGTTTTATTTTATTTCATTTATTTGACAATGAGGCAATGTAGGATATCATATTAAACAATTATATTAACAGCTACTCATTTGTTACAAAAAAACCTAGTGTACCTAAGCATGCCTGTTCATATATGTTTTAAAATCTTACTCATTTCACTATCCTGGTTAAATACTTCATAGAGTCATATTTGTCTGACATTTCTGTTAAGCAACTCTCCGATAATCAATTGTGTGTGCATGTGTGTTTTATTTAGGAGTAGAAGGATAAAGGCTTTAAATGGCTTGCCTTTTGCTGGCCATACATAGAAAAGCATAGTTTTAATATCTACCTGGTGGCTGTTTTGCCTAATTGCAGGCAGACACTTAGTTGGAAATAAATGATAAACCTTTGAGAGTCTATGTTACAAATCTAAGCTCAAGAGGCAGAGAAATGCATTGTTTATCTTTGAACACTATTTTTTTTTTGAAGTTAAGAATAATATAATACACTAATAGCTATTGTGATGATAGCTACTGCGTATTAAGGCTTTGTGTGCAAGGCATTCTGATGAGCTTTTTCCCAGTAGTATCACTGTAATTGTCATAAGAATTGTAAGCAGATTTTTTAGAGGTGAGGAACCTGAGGCTTGGAGCGGTGACGTGTCTGCAGGAACACAGCTAGTGAGTCCCAGAGGTGAGATTTGGACCTGACAGTTCAGTACACCTTACTGGTGTACTCCTTCCACCTACAGGCCAGTGAGAGGAATCCTAGAATGTGGTTTTCAAGTTTGAACAAAACACAACATCCCCCAAAGTGGCAAGAGGAGAGATGACACTGCATGGTCAGTTGCCTGGTGGGCTTTTCCGGTGTACACGTATGAGCAAGGCGGAAATAACCCTTTGCACATTGCAGCTGAGATGGCCTCTGTAAAGGGAATTGCGATTCCACTGTTCCATTCCAAGCCAGGTGTATTATCCCTGTGGTTCTTTCCCCCTAGTAAACAGGCACCACGTTGGCAATGGCTTTTGTTTGTCTAAGTACCAGTTCTGAAGGTGACCATCTGGAGGCTGCTTCCGGCTGGCTGATGAGCAGTGCCGGGGCCTGATGTACTTGAAGCTTATTATAACTGTCCCCGCAGCACCCGCTGGCTGCAGGTTGCTCCTGGGCCCGTTGTAAAGTGTGGCTGGTGATCTCTCCTCTGTATATATGGTTTTTGCACATATGAGTATACAAGATAAATGCTTTCGAGATTTCTGTGAAATTTCCTTTCAAAATGAATCCAGAATTCATTGGTGCAAGTATTTCAGCCAAGCAAGGGACTCCAGAAGAGTGCTAACTTGTCAGATTTTAGGATATGGAGCAACAGCAAAATAAAAGTCTGGGGCCTTGGTTGGAGTTTTGATACGCAGTTGCATTACTTTCCTGCTATACATTCTTGAATAAATTATTTAAACAGTTATATCTGCTTCTTGAACAGTAATGCCCTTCATTTCATATTAGTGCCTATACCTATAGAAAATAAGATGTAAGTTGGGTCTGTCAGTTTTCCATTCCTTTATTTAGTGATTCATTCAGATTTTATTAAGTTCCTTCCTACTTTAGGCCAGGTCTGGAGTCCAAGGAACTTACTTTTCCAATAATGTAGAATTTACTTCCTCAACAACTGTTTATTGACTCCCTTGTCATGTATTTGCTGGAGATTATGACAAGAGGCAGAACACTCCTTAAGCAGCGGCCATCTCATCCTGGAGTGGGGATGAGACGAAAGAGAGAGGGGTGGGAGAGAGGGTATAAATGAGAATGAACGGACGCAGGGTGTTAAGCGGTTTAGGAACAGTGAGCCAGCTGCCAGCGGGGCTGCCGTAGGGGCGACCAGAGGAAGCCTCACTCACGGGGCTCCCGTAGGGGCGACCAGAGGAAGCCTCACTCACGGGGCTCCCGTAGGGGCGACCAGA